CCCCCCATTCAAAATCCTGGCTACGGGCATGAAAGGGGCATTATGTAAACAGAAAATATTCTCAAGGACAAAATGGAGCGTTGCAAAAACCTCTGACGTTAGTTGGCAGACAGAATCAACCAATTTCTATGTAGATGAAGCAGCCCACGAATTGTCTTGACATACCAGACAATGCATATCAAACTAGCTGAAGTACGTGACGTCTCATATGTCGATGTGTCTGACATGTTGTTTTTACTTCAATATGTTTACGGTTTCCTCACATACCGATTTGTTGCCTGTCTCTTGACTAACTTGAGGTTATTTAGTCATAAACCTTCAGTCATTTCGTAGGCCATGTTGATTTGATTATATGGATGACATTCTCTGGGAACCCCAAAACTGATGCGCGCGTGCGAATAAAAGAAAAGTTGCTTTCGTTATGAAATCTACGTGGTCATGAAGGTTGAACAAATGACACAGAGTATGGTATGGCGAATAATCGACTCCTCAAATTCATTTCTATACATTTTACAATTTTTTTTGTAACTTATAGTATATATTTGGTCATTTTGCAACTGTTTTGAACGATTTGCAGTATGGTTGAAAATTATTTTTGGAAATGACCGAAAATTCATGCGCGCGCGGATTTCGTCCATATAATCAAAGCAACATGGCCTTATAAAATTACACTTACCGAATACAACATTGCCTTGATGAGTAGTTTTATGCCAACAGTCATTTTAAAAATAGGCTTGTTCATTTGCGCTACCACATAAAGATCGAAGTACCCATTCTGCTCATTTTGGACCATTGTTGTTGAATTTTAGCTTGGAGAAATACTCACCGTGAATTTTTAGTTGCTCTCGTCCGAAAATTCAGCGCAGTGAATAATCAGTCATCTGGCGAAGGTTGACGAGATCGACTAAAAATTCACGGTTTGGGTTTTTATTGTGTTGGATAAAAGTTTTAATTTTAGAATTATGGATTCTACCCAAACGGATGAGCCTACATGTACATTCGAATTTGGACCTTCGAAATTCATCACAGTATAAACATGGTACACAACCAACTTCTTCACTGCAGATCGACAAGAACTAAAATATTCAAACTGGAAAGACTATCTTTAATTTAAGTGTTTAGTAGAGTAATATGGGGATGTGAAGAACATTCTGTACTTACGATGAGGCTTCTGAAAGCGGCTTGTCTGCAGGACGGAACGGCGCACAATTGAGACTACGTGCCGGGAGATGATATAGATATTGAATAAACATATCTCCTAGAAGTTTTTTTTTTATTTAAATAAAACAGCAAATGCAACCATACTGGTGACGCATTCAAGGTCGAGCACTTACATTAACGTTACGACTGGCATAGACAACAATGAAATACATGAACACAGTGTGCACTAAAGCAAATGTTGTAAGAAAGAAATGGTTTGGTGTAACAAAATCAAGAGTTTGTAGCCGCCAGCCCAGCTCCACCTTATATAGTAATGGTGACAGTAACTAAACACAGCCGTGGCGACTCTTGATTCGGGCTTACCTTGCATTACCCTCAGCAAGAGTCGTAGAAAGATCCATTGGCAGAACTGCACATTTCCCGTTGGCTGCCCGATGCTCCGTTTTCGCCCCGTTTTTATTTCTGTCCCGAGCTTCCCTACAGTATAAAATCACAATTGGCCGGGTTGCCGATGTTCAGATCGGCCTAAGTATTCCACAGCGCGACCCCAAACTACTAAACTCGCTAAGTTTACAAACGGCGGCCATCTTGTATATAGTCGGGAATGTCCGCTAACCCCCGTCGGGGAACGTTCGGTAGCGTCACGATTACCGAGACGCGACCGAAAGCGGGAATGTCCGGTGCGGCCATCGGTAACGTTCGGTAGGCTTTCTGGTTATGATCGGAGCGCTTTCGGTCGCGTCTTACATACGTTTTGCCATGATCAAGTCTTTATCATGTTTCCTACACACGTTGTTTACGTGCGAGAACGTGTCCAAATGGATAAGTGGTTCTTCGAATCGTCACCTCCTGGAAACCGACAGAGCTCAGCAGCCGTTGAAACTCTCGGCCGGACCGTTGGCGGCCGCCCGTACACAGCATCATGAGTAGGTCGTACTTGTGGGCCACCTCTGGACCTGTCTTGTCATCTCCTAGCATATGTTCGACGACCAATAAACCTCCCCCTGTAAGCAGGTACAATAAAGGGTCAATGCCCCATCCCGCGGTGTATATAGTGTGATAATCCCGGTGTATATAGTGCGATAACCACCGGATAAACCACAGAGTGAGCATAGCAAACGAGGTGGTTAATGAGGTAAATTAAGCCAAACCACAAAATACTTCTCGGTTATCGCACCTGACCAGGGATTATCTCACAATATACGCCGAGGATAAGGTGGGTCATTAACGTCATTATCGTATAGCCTATCCAACTGACACAGTTATTTGGCACAGATTCCTTTATAACATACAAACGCTTTCATACTTAACATATCATTTCAATATATTACGAATATAGTTTTAACTTAACAGTTGTTCTTTCTTTACAAAACGCAGCATGGAAACTAATCATTTTTCGTGGGGGTGTCAAATTAAGTCTTTTTCTGTTAAGATTTCATTTATATCTTTTTACTTGTGTTGCAATTTCAAAAACATTATTCAAAATAAAGTACAATACATTTTAATACATACTACTGATAAATACTGCAAGTCTTAACACTACCGTTAGTGTCCAGTTTCCAGTATAATGATACGGTCCAAAAAGTGGTCGGTTATTCTGATAACCGGTGGGAAATCTAGCCTTCTGATTGGTTGACGTCTTCTGGCTATATGATAATGGCATTTATCCCGTTTGTGGCGATATATGTACGTTAGCTACAGTAGAGCCGTGGGGAAAGTATGGTATATTTTATCTTTATCAACTCCTACGATTTCCATCCTTCTCCTCTCTTGTTGAAATATGTGTAGATGAATTTATGGAGATTTTCATCGCATCGTAGCTCTCTTTCTCTCTCTCTCTC